AGATACACAAAATTATTTAACAACTATTCTGACAGTTGTACATTGTACAGCTTATGATCTTAAAATGTCATTTCATATGAAATAATCATGTTATGATTATTCTTCCCAATGATATTTTTCTCTTTAATTCACTGATAATTAGTTTTTGTTATTGTGGGTACTGTTTTAATCTAAAGTTTGCCTGTAATTTTTGTTAGAACCTATCATCCACCATTCAATAGTTTTGTGTTATCTAACTATATCTGGGTGGGAATAACTAAATATTTTATGTAAATATGCATGAATTCATGATCAATCGATCAGTTAGATCCCAAGTGGAAGTCTGTAAAGCATATTTGCGGTTTATAAGTGGACGATAAATCAAGTGTTTGAACATCACTGAGAAATATTGTATCTAAATATTTTGCTTGTGTACCCTAAGATATTTGGTATATTTATAGCAACATTTCAAATGAATTTTTTATGATCAAAATGAAAATGAATTTATATCCGTTCTTGTTTTTACAGAGCATTTACATGGATTTATATAGGAGAGAAACATTGACTTATTTGGGAATTAATAAGCACAAAATAAAACATTATTATCTTGATCAATCACAATTAAACACAAGCTCGATAATGTTCCGAACACAATTTTTTGTTATTCCACTTGTTTAGTGTGGCATCAACAATGATTGTGTAATAGAAATAAACAGGTTTAATCGTAATCAGTATTACGATAAAGTCAAATTCATTAATGTAGGTTAAGATGAATTTATAGTTTGTTGTTTGGAGGTCATCGAGGTGCTACATGCGTCACTGTAGTATACAACACATGTCGTAACTTTTGTGTTTCATGATACTTAAGCGATCTATGCTTGGTGCTGGAAACTTCATATTTGACGACGCGTGTTTAATGCACAAAGACTGCCAGTATAAATTTATTTGATCAAAAAAATAAACCAAATTTATATTTGAGTAAATCACTTCTAATGAGCGGATTGTCGTAAGATAAACATTCAGATTTGTGCAAGCTGACCAACAAGTATTAGGCATTAGCCAATTAATTACTTACCATGCGAATACACACTTGCAGTATCATAATGGCGAGTTTTCACACTGAATCAGTAATTCTCTTTTGATCGAATTAAAGTACAAGAGATGAAGAAAATGTATTTGTGAAGTATTTTATTAGCTGGCTAGCATAAATAAGTCAACAAGCAATAAATCCATCGCTTAAGTTTGCCTCAGATAAATTTATGCATCTTGCAGAATTGGAATAAGTTAAATTAAAAACCAGGAAGAGATGTTATGAATGTTTTATCCTCAACATTGTACACGTTTAGTAAAAACGAAAATTAATATTAAAAATAGTTGACGTGTGTAAAGTTTAGGAGTTCATTATAAAAAACCGTATTATTATTTTGATTGTTGTGTATCTCAGTTCTTAAAGATGAACGTGTAGGTCAAAAGAAAACAATGGGGGTTAACTAGTCACTACAAGAAAGTGAATAAGCTCACACTCAACCAAGAATTAAACTATCAAAACCGCATACAAATTTTGATTACATTACACATAATCACAATTCAGAGTAAGTTCATTACATAGCAATCCAAGGATAAACTAGAATTGAAGCAGATCCTTGTTTATTGAAGCATTATTATATTGAATGTCAAATAAGCCTTTTGTTTTCTAAATTTTATTTTTTCCTACCCGAAAACGTGGTGCAGAAAATATGGCTATATATAAAGTTAATGGTCATCAGGGCCGGTCGCAATCTCTAAAAACTCTGCCTGACTAAAACGTTTAGGCTTTGTTCTACATAATGTCAAAGTAATGATCCAAAATTTGCCTTAATTTATTATCAATGAAACTAACACACCAATGAAGAAACAAGTGATAAACGTGGTTGTCCTTTGAGTCATTTGAAAAACATGATTATCCTAAAAACACTTTGTGAAAGTTTACTTCTAATATCTAGTAAACCGACAAATGTAGTAAAGAGGTACGACCGTTTTTATAGTTTTGTCATTAAACCATTGGGCAAAATATAAAAATAAAAGCTTTGAGTGCAAACTTAACTAATCACTAAGCATTAAGCAAGATAAAAACGAAACATGTGATTATGTATATCGAAAACGGACAAAATGTACATTAAGTTAAGCAAAAAGAAAAGACAAGTATATTCGTTTGACATAAAAAAGCATTAATTCCTGAAAAAATTATTAATCAAAAACTGTTAGATTGGAAATAGAAAAAACAACTAAGTAAAAAAACCATGCTCCTGAACATCGAGAAAAGAGAAAAATACAAAAAGTATACTTTAAATAAAAGGCAAAAACACATATCCAAAAAAGACCAAACACTCTAAGTTTAAGACATTTTAAATTATTTTAGTCACAGTAAATAATCAACGATGATGTTGTTTAAAACAAAATTTAACACAAGATTCCTGACCTCATCCAACTGGAGGAAGATGATTATCAAAAGTTTAATCAAACCTAAGTCTCTCGTCAAAAATACAATATTTACCCAAATTTACGAATTTTGAAGATTGGCAGATTAATAACAAACCGAAAGTGATAACAACTTTCACCACAAGACTAGTTTAGTGTATAAGTCAGGTTCATTCGTCATAACGTCCAGGAATAGTTACAAAAAGCGATAAAAAGACAAAGACATCTGACGAAGTTACCTAACTACCAGTTGAAACATTTTCAGTCAATTCTACTAATGAGTCAATACACCAAATTGGCTATTAAACGACAAATGTTTTCTTGTACTCGTTTTATGTACAACGTGTGATCAATTTATTCACGATAAACTATTTTACTTGATCATTACATTAGAATTAGGCCTCTTTCTGTGTGAAAGGTTGTCTAGTAATATTATGGTAATTACATTACTATTGATCATTCACAGATGACCTAATGCCAAAACATACTTCTTCAAATTACCAGTAAATATTGAAATCGCCCTTAGTTGTAAACCTACAAATGTATGAGCAACTATACAATTTTTGGATTATTTTTTCCGGTTGGCGTTTTTATAGCGAGTTAGTCTTCTACGGGATGGGGTCGATAACTCCATGCCCAACCCTCCTTCTTTACCCGAGCTTGGGACCGGCAGTAACTCTGGGAGAGCTACAGGTGGACTTTCAACCAATATCAAAGTCAGAATCTTCAATACGAGCGTCAAGACAGTTCTACTGTACGGAGCTGGAACTTGTAGAACTACTACAAACATCATCAAGAAGGTACGAGTATTTATAAATAGTTGTCTGTGAGAGAGAACAAACCAGCTTCCAGCCAAAGAGGAAATTAGGAAAGGACGATGGAAATGGATAGGACATACATTACGCAAATCATCAAACTGCATCGCGAGGCAAGCCCCAACTTGGAATCCTGGAGGGAAGCGGAAAAGAGGAAGACCAAAGAACACTTTACGTCGGAAAATGGAGGCAGATATGAAAGGACGAATAACAACCAGAAAGGATTGCCCGGAACAGGGTTGGATGGTGAGTGTCGGTGGGCGGCCTATACTCCTCAACGAGGAGTAACAGGCGTAAGTAATTAAGTAAGCAAAGTATACAATTTTGATCTTAATGGCATTTTTGGTTTCGGATTATATACAGGCAAATGCAAGACAATATGAATAAAATTCTATTCATGTTAAGATACTCAGACGGAATTAAAGATTCATCCCCCCAAACAAAAGCTTCTACAATATACATAAGCCGCTGAGTGCAATAATAAACCAGTTCAGAATCCACTAAATGGGGCAAACACTCTTTTAAAATCAAGAAACTCATTCCTCAGTGAGTTTTAATTCTGTAAATGTTTCTAGACACTAAGTCCTGTCTCGTGATCCCGTAACACAATTGCATGTCTATAATAAAACCTCAAATCAATTTTTAAGTTGGGCAGCAAACCGCAAAGAGATTGGTTTTGGAGCTTGGACATGAAAGGAAAAGACTAGTATTCGTTTGAGAAGCGATTTGAAATACACCTTCTAACGCTTCATACTTAACATCGAACCACTGTAAACTGCCTACTTAAACTTCGGCCGTATAAAAAACGTGCACTCATTGATTACACGTTCAGCTTACCAATTTATGATGCTGTCGACATGCAAAATATACATAAAATATAATAGATTTAAGAATATAGTCTACTTAACATAACAGTAAAGGAAGAAGCTCTCGTATAAGCCTGAAAATCAACCTAACTAAAGTTTTGGTTGGCAATTAACCGGAACAGAACTGTCAATATTTCTTATCCTTGTTAAGTAACTCAAATAAAACTTCCTATTTGAATGAAACAAAATAATCACCCGTGTTTATCAGTTTTTGAACTCATACAAAGGAGTTGATAATATATAAGCTTACCCATCTTAATAGATCAACCGGTCTTTCAAAAACTACGGTCAACACGGTTTATACGAATGTACCGGTATACACAAAAGATTGTGTAATTTTATTATATGCAGAGTCAAAAGACGTCATAAATATGCTATCTGAATCGAACGTTTGAGAAAAATAGTGATTAGGTCGTCTTTCGCTTCAAAAACCACAGTATTTTAAGATCTTCAGCTACTTTAGATGGTCAAATAGTTATCTCAAGTCAGTAGACCAAACAACAGCCAGCCAAATATTTTAGAGTTCTAAATAAGATATTGGAATGTACACTGATGTTAATTAGTTGTATGTATTTTTCTGAATGATTGTTCAGTTGGTCTCCATTCCAACTAACGTATGATCGTAGTCCCTTAAGTGCAAAGAGTCGAAATAACTCAAGGTTCCTCGAGTTGGCACGCTATGGGCAAGAAAGATACTAAACAGTAAACTTGGACAAGAGAAAAACAGACGAAACAAATTTGACACTACGCCTTAAGCATGCAGGTATCAGACAAAGGCCTATACAAGTTCATGGACTAGTCTAGGAGAACAATAAATCCACTCCTCTACTTATGTTGTAAATCGTAGCAATAATACAACACTTAAAGAAGTAAAATAACTTACTGGTTATTGTGAAGGAAATAATACCGAAAACTGTCAAGATTCCAAAAATCATTCCCACAGACCAGGTGGGCGCATCTGTTTACTATGGTGAATTTTCATTATGACGAAGCTATAGTCTGAATGAAGTGCGCAGTATTAAGTAACGTATTTAAATTCTCAACACATAAGGTCGTATAGTGCCGTGTTCAATGTCCAAATGGTTCAAATTCCAATGGCTGTGGACGGAATAGAAGAAGCTTTCGCTTAACAGGCTTCCGTGTCTAGCAGGGGATCACGAAACCCTCCAGGCAGGAACGTTTTTCTGTGTTGTTTCTTGAGTTCTTTTTTGTTGTTGATCTTTTGTTATATGTGGATTTTTGGTACTTGTTTGCTGTTTGTTTCTGTTATTTCAAGCTTTTTTTTGATTTCATTGATATACTGCTCTCATACTTCTATTATGGCAATTTTTCTCATCGTCTATTATTAGGGATTTTTCAGATTTCTTGTTTTTTTATTTATTAGTCGGGTTTTACCGTTGAAGAGATTTTATATGTTTTCTTCTAACGTGAATTCTTATTTCTATTAATTGTATTGCATAGCGCTTTCAACATTAAATTACTTTCTACAGACCAATATTTTCTCAAAAGCTTTAATAATTTCGTTAGTTTCTCACAGAAGTGTTTGTGTATAGTCCAAATTCGAACCATTATTTTTAGATCTTCAATGTTATGCATTACGTTTAATTTGGCACAACACATTTTGTGTGATGTTTAATCAAGTAAATCGCTGTTCCGCGGTTTTTGAGTTTAATTGTTAATTTCAATACTCTGTTTATTCACTAAACAGAAGTTAGTTCAGGAAATAATTAAAAAATATTTTTTAACACGCTTAATATACTGAACTTCAAGTTGAACGTGAAACCTACGTGACTTGACAGTGATCATCATCTATATACTTTGATTGTGACTCGCAATAAAGTCGTATTAGTATTTAAGTGAAACGTTTTGACAAAAACGGCACCTTAACCCTTTGGTAATCATTTCTTTGGTTACTTAAAAACGTGTGCTATGTTTCTAGTCATATTCTTTGGTGTCTGTTTTTAATGCTCGATCAAACTTATGCTTAGTGATTTGTAAAAGTCTAAATATTACTTGTTGTTTTTCTGTAGTCCATTTTTGTCGTCTATTGTTAATGTTTCTTTTAACAGTAGTTTTAGAGTTAAAACCAATACACAAAACAGTAAATATTGTTTAAAAGTATGTGCAATTTTTTGATTGTTGAAATTTAGAAACATGCGCTGAATAATTATTCAGTCACTTGATAAATGTCACAGGAGACAACTTGAGAAATTAATGTTATTGGATTCCTGTAATGCCAAAAATTATGTGATGTCAGTAAGTAGAAGGGACTAAGTTTAATATTTGCTCAACTGAACGATAAAGCCAGTTATTTCAACGTCTTTGGTGTAAGCTTCTGGGAAATTGTATTTCCTGAGAAATACTTCAAGCACCCTTCATCAAAATGGTTTAATCTATTTTTGTCAACTCTTCCGTCAGCACATTTACCAGATATAACAACTTTCTGTTTTCTGAGTAGTATCTTAACAATGATAGTTTATTCTGAGTGTGGAAACGTTTATTAACGCGCAACAACTTCCTTTTTTCCCGTCAATGATCTCACTGATTGCGCCATAAGTCAATATTTAAATAATATACTAACTCCCAGCTACAGCACCACCCTCCTATGTAGATATATTTCTTTGGAAAGAAAGAGTGATTTTAACTTGTATAAATTAAATGTAACTATGTGTTTATGGTGAGCGTTAAAAAATTTGGGAAAACATATGCTGGTAGTGATTTCATGGTCACATGTTCATTCTATCCATTTGGGGGATTAATAAACAGAAAGCTAGTGCTTCATCTATGGATAATTGTCAGACGTTCCAAGTGCCTAGGGTAACAGAAGAAAATTACTCTGTGAGGATTATTTATGATTCACCAGTTTTTTCTGATTCTACGTTTACAAATTCTGAAGAAATAAAACTTCAAAGAGTCCCTTTTCATTTTTAAAGATAGTAAATTATACATAAAAAATATCACTTAATAATGTGTGATATGATTAACCGAAATAAGAGCATTATTCTAAACTTTTTTTTCAAAATTAGTCCTCTACATGAAATACATGTAAGAAATATTTCCCGAGTTCATTCAATTGTGTCCTCTTTCGCAACAACCTTATATTTATAAGAAATAAAAATGTCAGCACTATTAACTCGAAAATTCAATAACCCATCAATTATTTTTTTCTAACTATTTTAAGAGTCACTTGATGCTCTGTGGCAAGAAAGTTCATGGGATTCTACCTGGGATTCATGGTGGCATTACAAAGAAGGTGTAATAGGAGGTATTTTATCATATGTGCAAGAATTTTGTCTAATTAATGATTTTTTAGCTGTATATATAGTGCCTAAGATCTAACTACCAAAAGTATCCTCGAAGTTTTAGCGCCTTACTCACACTTATAGATACAATTCTCACACAGGTTAATGTTTTATTAACCAGCTATCTATTTATATAACGTCAGTTTACCGTGACAATAGACAACCCCTATACTGATAATCAACATGCGCTCACTAGTGACTAACTTCGTGAGGTAATTCTCAGAGTTCTAGTGAGAAGCCATGACCAGTGGAGCTAGTCCATGTCGGGTAGAGACAGGTATCTACTTCAGTACAATGGAAGATGGTCGTGCAATTTCGTGTATTGGTTGGTGTTAGATACTAACACAATTGGATGCTGGCCCAGTGATTTAGAGGTTAGGCGTTCGCGCGCGATGCTGAAGGCCCTGGGTTCAAATCCCGCGAGAGGTCTCGTGGATGCGCACTGCTGTGGAGGCCCACAATGGGACGAAACGACCGTATAGTGCTTCCAGGTTTTCCATGACGGCCTAACATCAATTGACTTATGAACTCAACTATTCAATTTTAATTGTATCGATAACATCTGTACGCTAAGCGGATTCATGGCTTTTTCCTCTTTTTTCATAATAATAATGATTATGAATCAAAAAGGGAACTAATTTTATTTTTGTGCATTCTAAGTGGAAATCGTATTAATAAGTTGAAATAGAATAATAACTTAAGCAAAACGAATAACTGTTAACAGGTAAATGATACTGAAAAAATACAAATTACATAACTTGTTAAAGCATCTGATAAGCTAGAATTTTTTCATCCTAAATTTATAATCAAATGATTATTTTTAAATAAACCAAGCCATCACTGCTATCTCATTAATTAATTAATTAAAGTTGATTCAATGGGACATCGAAGTATATATGCGCCACACAATGATAATCATGTTGTAAAGTGATAGAGGAAGGAAAGTGAGTGCTTCCAGGTTTCCAACAGTGGTTCATGATCTTAATCAACAACTTGATAATCCCCACAACCCCTATGCTGATAATAATAATAATGATATGATAACCAAAATTGAGGTTTGCTTATTCTTACACTTAACACAATGAAAAATGAGTTTAAACTTAACAGCGTCAAAATGTTATAAATGAGGACTTGTACATTAATTTCGATATATGAATTTGACTAACCTGATTACTAATTATTCAACTCGAATGCTTTTTTCATTGTGATACTATAAGAGTGCTGTTAAGCCAATGAGCACAACGTTTTTATGGTTTTTGATTGAATCGGTTAGATTTGCTAAGGAAAGAAACTTACCCTAGAGTAATATGTGTTCGTCTTGATACTGCTGTTCAACAAACATAGTTACACAGCACAATATTGATGCGAGGCAAAGTTTGAAACGTTGTGCGCATTTACAACATACAGATTTGAAACGAATTCATTGTGGCGGACGAACAAATAGAAATAGTTTTAAGAGTCTTACGGTATTGTACCAAAAATAGCACCAAAACCATTGCAAATTATATACTCAGGATTTACTATCACAGTTGCTTATAATGAACTCAGTTATTATTTATGAAAAAACTCCGTCGACTGCAAACATAACGTGACCAAAGTTAACTTGTGCCGAATGCTTACACTTGATGGTATGTTGATCCGATTTCTTTGAAAAGAAATGATATTTTCAAAAGTGGTTTTGTGTAGATTTTTAAACATTTCAGTAGTTAAAATCATGAGCAAATTAAAGCTAGACCACCATGGAAAACCTGGAAGCACTGGGCGGCCGTTTCGTCCTCGTATGGGACTACTCAGCAGTGCGCATCCACGATCCTGCCTCCCGCGACATTCGAACCCAAGACCTAACAGTCTTCAAGAAGCATTTGCTGGGGTTCTATTGAGAGGCCGTTGCTAGTGGAGTTCAACCAGGTCTGTTGTGAGACATTAACTAACTGAAGACAATGGTGTACGGTGGCGCAATTTTGGGGATTGGCTGAAGTTAGACATTAACAACGTTGGATGCCAGCCGGCTCAGTGGTCTAATGGTTAAGCGTTCATGCGCGAGACTGATGGGTCCAGGGTTCGAATGTCGCGGAAGGCGGGATCGTGGATGCGTACTGCTGAGGAGTCCCATACTAGGACGAAACGGCCGTTCAGTGCTTCCAGGTTTTCCATGGTGGTGTAGTTTTAATTTACTCATGATTTCAACTATTGAAATGATATTTATCAAAAAAATGAAAGGACCTTTTCACAATCGTACCTTGGAAAACATTTCATATTCAATGATATGTGTTATCAAGGTTTATTTGAGCAAAATGTATTCAGTGATTAATAAGAGACGAAAAGCAAAACGTTCCTTTTAAATCAACAAGCTGATCAATGGGAGAAATCGCTGTTTACCAAATCTTCCACTTATGCATATGAACTAACACATTATTTATGTAATATCTACGGTAATAGAGGACTAAACTAAAGCTTAGAAAGCGTCTGTAACACTATATGATTTTATAAGGTATTACTTGTCCATTTTCTGAAATTCTTGACTAAATATTGATCAGTCTTAGTAGGCCTATGTACATCCTGTGCTGGTTGCAGCAGTTTAGTCATTCTGTCATACTTTTGCGCAACGGATTTGGATTTTATTTAATTTGTAAGGTTTTCTCGACCAAGAAGCCTGGTGGATAACACGTTGGGCATTTGAAGCGAGGGATCCTGTTTTGGAGTCCCTGCATGAAAGTCAACACTAGGATGCAGATATACCAAGATGACTAATCACAAATGCAACAAAAAGCATTTCTAAAGCAGTGGCAATTAGAACCCTGTAACATTCACAGACCTCCTGCTTCTGTTTAGAATCGAGAACCGTTGTAATTCCAACGAAGGAAAACGATAACACAAGACCAATAATGAAGTTTGATTGACTCTCTGAAAAGAGAATTGCACTGAACCACGCACATACATTTAATCACTGACTTTAAACAACCTTGGTGCTTAATTAATAAACATCATACAAATGAACGGCTACACAGGTTTACTGTAAAACAAATTCGAAATTCGCATAGGATAACACAGAGAATATGGCTGCCACGTTAAACGAAATTTTACACCTGTCATACTAAACAAAATTCACACCTAATTATTTAGAAACATATTGATCTGAGACAATGATACGCTATAAGAAATAAACCCATTATTGTTCAGACTAAAATATTACATTGAGCATAAAACCAAAGTCAAATGTCATACCGGAAATAAATAAGTGTTTCGCTGAATAAAGAACTACCACAACCATCATCAAAAAGGTACAAGTATCTATAATCAATTGTCTACGTAAGATACTCAATATCTGTTGGCTAGATACGATCAGCAACAGCCTACTGTGGGAAAGAACAAACCAACTTCCAGCTGAGAAGGAAATTAGGGAAAGACACTGGGAGTGGATAGGACATAGTGGAGAAATCATCAAACAGCATCACGAGGTAAGCACTAACTTGGAATCCTGAAGGGAAGCGAAAAAGAGGGATGTCAAAGAATAAACTGTGTGGAGAATCAGGGGCAGACATAAAAAGGATGAATAGTGGCTGGAAAGAAGTGGAAAGTTTTGTTGAGTACAGAGTTGGGTGGAGAAAGCTGGTGAGCGGTCCATGCTCCTCAACGAGAGGTAACAGGCGTAAATAATTAAGTACGTCGAAGAAAATGCTACTTTGAAATTAAAAAACGTTGAAGTGCTATATTATGATCGAAACTACTGTCCTGAAACGTTACGCTGATTTTGAGAAAATTATTAAAGTTGCCTACCTGTCCCAATTTATTGATAGGTCAAAGCAAATTGATGTGCGATACGAGAATTATTTTTTAGCAATCCTATGGTAAATCGATAAACTGACTTAATTTTCCCCGAATATTATTACTTACATTTTAGCATACTTCACTCAGCTAACCGTTATTTCATCCACTTTACTATTAAATTTCCATACATCCGTGAATTTTACTTACACATTGCTTAAAAATTAAGTAAATTTTTTAAGATCTATAATTACTACTCAATTTGTCTTTGTATTAATAAAGTCTTCCGGGCTTTATGTTTTCTATATTTTCCCTCAAATGACTTCGCACATGCATGTATATGTACAATACTGACAATCCACTGTTATTTTAGTTTTTCAACAACCAATGATTACTACTTGAAACTATGTTTTATTTCAGTATAAATACGTTTGTGGCAAGACGATGAAAACAACTTCATAAAAATGAACTATAAATCTGCTTCCACTATCATTCTTGGTTTTTTAAAGTTCATGAAGGAAATATATCTTATAAAACTGTCATATTTAGCAGATATTTACAAACAGTTGCAATGTCTGTCTTTCGTATCAGAGTAATCATTTATTAATATTCTTTTTCTCTTGTCATCAAGGTCCAAGTAACTGGGGGCAGACGGCGCTCATGGCTATTACCAGTGACATTTGGTCAGTTTGCTATCAAGGAAAAATGCAATCACCAATCAATATATCTACAAAGCATTTAGTATTTGATACTAATTTGGAACCTATAAAAATACTAGGCTTAGATAAACAGGTAAGTGCTCAGTCCCAAATACGTAGTTTTTTAATGTTCTGTAGCCGACTTAAAATATAATGGTTCGTTTTGAAGTTATTGGGCGTTACGTTTTTTGTATTCTTATTAAAACATATTTATTATTTTATTGCTGTACATACTTGTAATCGATAGTTATAATGATGAATAACATACAAAATTTTAAAGTTTAACTGTCATATTATTGTATAACAAAGTGTTACGTTTTGTTTCCCATTTCAAACCATTCTGACATTAGGCTAGATATAAATCAGGTAATGGTCGGTCAATCACACATTTTTATGATGTATAATCCACAATATATTGTTTAGTTAACAGATACTAAAAGTATGATTGCGTGATTCTTTCAGATTGACGTGGAGATAGTGAATACTGGACAAGATTTACAAATGAAATTTCTTGATTCAACAACAATAATTATATTCAGTGAAGGACCATTGGTATATGACTACAAGCTGTTTGGTGCTATTATAAAATTTGGTTCAAGATCAAGCCGTGGTTCAGATCATCAAATTGACGGTATTGCGTTTCCGGCGGAGGTAGAAATTTTGACACTATTAGATAAAATTTTTATTTGTTGTGTGTGAATCGCAATTAATCTCATAGATTAAGATGTTTCTGATGATTCATTTAATACACTAAATGAAACAGATGTTGAGTGCTTTAAAAATACATATGAACTATACCTAGTGACTGAAGAGCAACTATTATTTTAATATGATAACAATGCAGTTCACCTTCACTTTGAACGAAAATAGGAGAAATGTAACTAAGATCGCTTGTGATGCATTCGAAATATCATAATCTATCAAATTTCATCAGAAAAGCTGTGAATTCTTGTGCAAATACGTATTCTGTGCTTCAAATTCTTCATTGTAATTCTAAATATTAAAATAAATCTAGAAAAATGAAAGAACCAGCACCATAAATTCGAAAACATGTTCTCAAGTGTGGATATTCGAAGGGAAATTGATATCAGTCAGGTTCCGAAACCCGGTTTTAAGTAAATACTGCTCCTCAACTTCCGAATGAAAGACCATCTGTCATTAGCACATTTTTTCAACCACATTTATTTGTTTATACTCTTATTTGTCCAAAATAATAATGGCTGTAATTCATATGCCGTAAAATCTATCTACATAATTGTATGAATGAAATAATTTAAAGCATATGTCGTCTAACCTCTCCTTCTGTAAGTTACTCTTGCAATACACTTGATTAAATTTTAGTAAGTTATTATTTTATTAGTAAAAGTTGACTGATTTAAACAAAGTAGAGATGAACCCACTATCAAGAATGATTTGTATACTTTATGATTAGTGAGAACACAATCATGGCGTAGACTACCGCTTTGATGCTTCTGAAAACAAAAGTGACTGATGATGACAACTTCAATATTGGAGAAATGATAAAAGTTGATTGACGCCTATTAAAATATTCATTTTGCAAGTATTACAAGAGAAAAAGAAACAATAATATATTGATAAGCGTGACAGTTGAAAAATAGGGCAATATAGGTTAGCAGGTAGTTTAAAACAATTTATTGGCCTACATTGAATCATACATTCATACCTTCAGCTTCTTATTTCTAAACGAATTTAAAAAAGCTTGCACTGATTAATAACCGTTATGCCAGAACAAAAATGATTAAGTTATCATTTAATAAAAAAGTTCATATTTTATCACAATGGCGATTCGTTTTGATGAAATTTAACCATTACACCAAAACCAGTGATTTCTTACGTCATGTTCAATTACAATATTCTTACTGTTTTGATATCACCAACACTTTTCCCACATAATTCTAATTTATTGATCAACCGAGAATTAATGTGATAATATTTTCACATTCTATTACACAATTTGGTCAAATATTTTATACCACTGAAAGTTTGTAGAACAGTACGTTTTTACAGATACTTATTAATTGTTATGCATAGATTGAAAGTAAAAAAATATATTTCGTATGAAATGATTTCATAAACATTATGGGAAAAACTGAAAGCGTTTTGATTTTCCTATAGGATAAATATAGTGTCTCCTCGAAATAATTGACATTTATTCTCCTCAGACGTATACTTCTGAGTTCATTATTTATGAAACCTGATATTTGTAACAAGAACGATCTAATTACACTTGAAATACCGTGCATCTTAGTACATGGAGTGATTGTACCACTTTTTGAATAAAGGTGGACAGATGTAATTTGCCGCTGATATAATATGATCCTTAAGTAGCACAGAATTTATGAGACTTCTATTATGTAATTATATAATGAGTCCTTCTATTGAATTTTGTGACTATTTCAGTACGAGCTAATTTATTAAAGATAAAAAAATGTGACATTTATTATGCCAAGAATACAATGTTTTTTTGTATTGACAGCTACAATTATATGCATTCAATTACATTTTATATCCAAATTTTTCTGTTGCACTATCTAAACCGAATGGTTTGGCTGTATTATCTATCTTATGTCAAGTAAGTGATTCTTGCACATTATAAATTATTTTTATTGAAATGACTGTTGTACTAAACCAAAATTTTCTGAATCAGCAGCGCACTGATATGTCTAATAACTCCTTAGTTCGCTTGAATAATAACAGAAAATGTTATTTAATCCCATTTACTCAACATCAACTTGTTTAGTTATGGGTTACTTTTTTTTTAAAAAATGCAAAAACCAAATACCAAGTATAAATACAAGAACATTTATTCACAGAATTTTCACGCATTTCAATTGTTATTCTTACTTGTTGAAAAATATTTTACTTGTCCACTAGTGAAGCATATATAATAGTTCTTAGATTTAATAACGGTATAAATAAATGTATCAAAATTTAGTTGATGCATACAATCGATTTAAATCTGTCTCATTTTGCTTGATTAAACGGTATAATTCTTTATATTTTCTATTGAGAAAAGTGAAATCATTATAACTGAAAGTTTTTCACGACAGACGTTGTTTATTCTTTAGACTAAAACACTGACGAATTTGGAATTTATGTTTTAGGAATGCTTCGTTAAGTGTTCTAATAGAAAAGAGTTATGTGCACGAAATCTAGGCAAAAAAAATCAATTTAATAATAGTATAGTTATATTTATTTTACTGTCAGTAGTATAAAATATGATTTGCCGACTGGTTTTTATTTTATACAAACAACTAACTTAAAATCTATGTCAAAAAATGACTTTCGATAATTATTATCATTAACACAACAATGATGGGAAAAAAGTCAGTTCTTTTTATTACGGTGGTCAATTATTCGAGTATTTTGTAAACGTTTACATTAGGAAGAACAAGTTTTGAATGACATATATATCTTTTTGACTTAGTCTGCTATTTAAAACATTTAGTCTCTTTGATAAATTTTGATAATGCAATGAGAAAACGAAGTTTATCAGAATTAGGTGATATATTTTCGCAATACATTTCGAACGATCTGTGTGTGCGGTAACACGTACATAGTGAAGAGCAATCGTATTTTCCAATTAAGGGTGGGTGAACACATACCAAAATGGCTGCAGAAGCAAATGAATTCCAGTGATCAAATAAGATCAAAGGATAGACAGACGTCTTCCCCAGTTGCGAAACATGTGATGAAGACTGATCATAACATTGATATCAAGTCAGAATTTGTAGTATTGTACAAAAGAATTCAAGGACGTATACTAAGGTTTATTGAAGCGCTGGCTATACGGAAATTGAAACCCTCTTTATGCGTTCAAAACAATTTGTGCCTACACTTAACATGCCCTGGTAATACTGATTTATTATTTAGAGTGGTTATCACATTGTTTTTCTGTAATTTATTATTTTTTAGTCTGTTACGACTTATCTTTAACTTGTCTAGTTGATCTTTTAATTTTCATATAAAAATGTTCTTAACAAGTATATGTGTGATCAGATTGTTTGAAATGGATTGCGTAAATATATCACATAATTCTGATAAACTTCATCTTCTTATTGCATTATCGAAATTAGTCAGCTATATATCGAGAATTACACAATCAAACAACAATTTCGAATAATTTAATAGTAAGGCTATGTATCCGAAAACGAGCAAACTCGGACGAATATACATGGATTTTGACTAAACTGGACAATAATATCTTCTAGAAACAACAAACTTGTGAATCGATAATGGTGATCAGTCACATTCATTACGAAACAATCATACAAAAGATCAAAATGTTATGTAGGTGTAAATAACATAATTGGTAATGAGTAAATCATAAGATATGAACGATGAGTGTGCACTTGAGAATTGGTGATGGTAGAAATCACAAAGGAGTTACAAGAAAAAGTATGTAGTGTATAGTTAATATACGTTCCGTGCTTAATCGTGTATCCATCACTATTAATAAGCATGGTTCTCTTAATATTAAGTAATCTATTTTGATCAATACAACGTTTCCCATATTATGTAATACCTTTACGGAGTTTCGTCATATTGATTAAAACCATATAATGAGTATTTCCATTCTATTTTCAGTAACTTCAACTTTATAAATAACTCTATTTATTAAACATGTAAGCAGTGCAAACATTACTTATTTGTAATATGCGTTACTGTTCTAGTTGATCACAAACATGTGAAAATACCTGCTCCATTTCAAAATTTTGTTCCACTTTTACAGCCATGTAATGACATTCATCAACAAGCTTTATTATTATGAAGTATGTATTTAAATAGTATAAACACAATTCCGTTTTCAGTATAGGGATTGTGGAGATTATCAGGTTTTTGATTGAGATCATGGACCGATTGATGTTAGACCACCATTGAAAACCTGGAAGCACTAGACGGTCGTTTCGTCCTAGTGTGAGACTCCTCAGAAGTGCGCATTCACGAGCCTGCGCGCGGGATTTGAACCCAGGGCCTTCAGTATCACGCGCGAACGCTTAACCTCTTAAACACTGGGCCAGCATCCAATTGTGTTAGTATCTAACACCAACCAGTACACGAAATTGCACGACCATCTTCCATTGTACTGAAGTAGATACCTGTCTCTACCCGACACGGACTAGCTCCACTGGCCATGGCTTCTCACTAGAACTATGAGAATTCCCTCACGAAGTTAGTCACTAGTGAGCGCATGTTGATTATCAGTATGGGGCTTGTGGAGATTATTGAATTTTTGATTAAGATCATGAACCTAACACTAACATTCTTGGATGCCAGCCCGATGGTTCAGTAGGTTATGCGTTCGCGCGCGAGACTGAAGGCCCTGAGTTCGAATCCCGCGAGCGGGCTCGTGGTTGCCCACTGCTGAGGAGTCCCACAATAGAACAAAACGGCCGTCCAGTGCTTCCAGGTTTTAACTGGTGGTCTAACACCAGTCGGTTCATGATCTCAATCAATAATTAGTTTATTATTACTATTAAAGTAACTATTCATAAACTCTGTAGGTCGGTGTTCAGTCGTCAGCTGATTTGGAAGCTATATTTTCTATAGCAGATCATGTGCAATTGAAAGGTATGTCATTACAGACAGCATTGTCTATTATTCATTGTTTATATATTGACGTAATAACAATAAATTATTACTTCTTTAAAATTATAGTTTTACTTTTTATTAGAGAAAGATTTTAATTCATAACTTTCACATTCTTAAGATTTAAAATGAGTTATTTTGTCGTGAAATTATGAAACACGCTATCATCATCAAATGATTGACAAACCAACTATTGTTAGTGATATTCTTATGTTGTATGAAAAAACAAACACCTATGTATTTTCTAATCATTGAATTGTTGTAAGAATTTATATTACAAACAATATACATGTATATAAAGCATTCATAAATGTATGGATAAACAAAACTAAATACAAGGGTAATGTTTCATGGTTAAACAGAAATATGTCATTGATCTCTCATAATAAAACCAACTTTAAATGATTTCATATCGAACTAATGAAATGAAATGAACAATACACTACTAGATACGTACCATTCAATGGCCAGCTTTATGTCTTTGTAACTAGTTACGAAAAGAAAATTAATTTAAAAAATGAATTATTTTTTAAACCGAAACTATGAGTAATTTGTAATATTATTACCAACGAAATTTTTTGGAAAGAATTGGATGCAAGAAATATTTTGATATGGTTTCTTTTGTGTTTAGTGAAAGGCGATCTAGTAAACTTTAGAGAAAGCTTTATTGTAGTCGGTCAACAGAGTTATAAGTTAAAATATGTGTAACTTTGTTTCTTCTTAGATAATATATGGGAACTTTATTTAAATATTGACAGTGAATAAAGCTATTCTAGTGTTAGGTTGAATGGAATTCGAACATGGCTATAAATTATTACTAAAATCTGTTAACTACAAACAAAAGTAACACACAATATCTTTGAAGAGAAACTAAAGAAACTCTAGTGACGAAAATCCTTTATACTACAATCAATTAGTAATGTACGAATTTTCATAGCTTAGTTCAATCTTTATTCTGAACATCTAGTAGAATATGCCCTAAAAACAGAACAAGCGAAGAAGTGTTCCAACCTCGATAAATATTCATAGAAACTGTCTATCCACTCAAGTTCACTAAACCTAGACTTCAATATACAACACCTCCGATTTTAAAAAAAACTCTTCCCATGAACAGTGATTTTGAAGGAGATACTGTTGTAGAAGTTCTAAAAATTTGTAGAACGGAATCTTTAGGAAAACTATTTTTATGGCTATCAGTCATTCGTGGATATATCAGAGATAAACTCCTGAGTTGTGCCTCATCAATGTGAATCTATACGTTCACTTGATTTTATGAGGCGGGTTGAGGCTGTCAAACAAGCGAAGTCTTTCCGGATTCATTCTTCAAAATCGTCCATAGAACCAAATGATTACGTTTGAATGCAGAGCCAATTAATAAGATATGCACTAGAGAGGAGTTAGTAAATCATTTTTTCAAGCTTGAACGCTGTGTGTGAAAGCGACACCTGTAAGGTATTACTCATCTACGGGCCTAACGCCTAATTTTTCACAAACGGCAAATTGTTACTAATACGTTTTTCTAATGTTCCTTTTCTTACAAATCATTACTATCGCGTTCTCCTTTTTTCGCTCACTACTGTCACATTCGTTTAGTGGATAGTTGTCTTTCATGTATTAGGTTCTCTTTTATCATTCTCCCCTAAATTATTAAATGTTACGTGACTTTCCGAAATCACATAATCGCTCTTCTATTTTTCAATGAACCACATTATTTGTTCATCGGTTATAAATATCACTGTACAAATCGTTTAAATGATTTTATTGAAGACGATTGTTTTTTAGGTATAGCTTTACTCTTATCAGACATCTAGAACAGTTTAACTGTCATTAACACATCTTGCGAAACAATTAAAATTTATTAATTGTATCAGTAATTGTGATTTAATCCATCTCATTTTGAAGTAGTTTAACGATTACACTCATATATAATTAATGAGATTTTATAAAACTACTTTCGTCAGCCTTTGGTTAATTTATTTAGATTTTTATTTGGCTAATGAAGTTCAATTTTATTTTTTTATTTACCCTCTCTTTTGTGTAGGGCAGTTTAAAAAGCTTCACGGTTTGTTGTTAGAAGGTATAATACCATCAACTGTGCACTATATGACATATCAAGGTTCTTTACCTTTTCCTGCTTGTTATGAAACAGTCACTTGGATTATACTCAATCAACCAGTTATAATCACAGAAACACAGGTAAACATAAATTAACTTTAAAGGGGGGTTTAAATAAAATATGACCATACTGATAATATATTGCTAAAATCGACTTACTAAATACGTGTTAATCGACAAAGTAATTTCTGTTTATCAATTCTTAAGTATATAAATTTTTTTTAATGAATATTTTAAAGTAACATAGAAAATACACTAAATAATCACGTTTCTCATTAATGAATATGTAGATATCAAACAACTCATCGATTAAAATTATCAGGTAAATCTTCATTGATTAAAAGCCTATAGAAATAATACGACTACTCAAAAATTTGTTAATAAATAAAACGATCATAACTATTGAGTATAGAAAGTATATTGCCTTCAAGTTGAGTTACCACTAGTTATTTTTTATAAAGCTATAATTTTATTATGGCTATTCTCTGAAATACTTCACTTCATTGTTTTACTGTTTGTTACTTTTATCATTACTCTTAATATTTCTTAACTTGTTTAGATTAGTTACTATTAACAATGATTAGGTCATGAATGTGCTTGGGCTAAAATCGTCACATAACATTAGGTTGACAAGATGAAAATAACAAGATAAGTAAGAAATCAAAATAATGTTATGATAATGATCATGAAAATGCGACTGTACATTGTAAAAGTATCGTTCAATAGAACAGTAAGAATTCTATTCAGATGGATTGTTGGAAATCAAGAATGAAAAAAAAGATCAAGAGTTAATACATCAACACCACTGTTAATGATTTTAGAAAAAAAACCTTTAAGTGTATTTTGAAGCAAATATCGCGCCAAACTTTATTGATTTAAATAATAGATTAACCATTTACAAATTGGCTAATCTTCTTCCCACGTAATAGCTTAGATTTAAGAAAGATATTGTTATAATATTATTTACTATTTGAAAGACACTGACAAATAATTCTGAAGTTAAATTAAATCGACGGACCAAGTGGTTCTTCACTGATATTGTGTGCGTGCTACTTATATTGACATAAGTAGTGTATAACGCGAGTCAGGAATGTTATGTCTGGCAGCAGAAGAATGTGAAATTCGAGAAAGGAAGAACGGGAATTGAAAGCAATTAGTATAGAAATGCAAGAACAATGAAGTCCGAGACAATTATTGAACATTTTGCAAATTAAGTATTATAGTATGGTTCTTCTATTTTACCACGTAACTGTGTCGTTGCACTGAATATAATCCGGTTGTCCTCACCTGTGTTCTCCTTTACTACAATATTATATTCGTTATTTTGTTGAGAGTAGTTTAATATGTAACACTACGTAAATGATTATTATAAACTTTCATAATTCAAATTTATACATATCATAGTGAGGACACAATTAATACACATAATAATTGATAACATCACCAAATGAATACCTAATATTTATTTTCTATAATCAAATAGCAGAGATGTGGTATGATTTTTTTTCTAATAAATGCTGTTTCAGTAATCTTCTTTAAATTCAACCCATCAAACACCGTTTTAAGTTCATGAACTTATAATGATTCATTCGTCTTTAAGTATAATGATCACTTGTAGATCACCATTTGGTTTCTCTAGTTTTGCTATTAAAACAGTGGTAAGTGTTCAGAAAAATACTCTAATTCTAGTTAATTTTCACTATTTAATAATTGAGTTTTATATACATCCATAATAGTTGCACATAATTACCAGGCAATTCCAGCTATCACAATTGATTGGTCACTGAATGGTGATCATTATCATGTGTGTCAAGTCCTTATTAGTGCAGATCGAAAGCTATCGACCATGTTGCAATGTGGTCATCGGTCCAGGTGACTCGACACTGCGTGCACGATCTTGAGATTAGGTGGTGGTTTGAGGTAGTCGACAGGATACTCTGGACCCGGATTTCGTGCTACTTGGCACTCGTCAGCCAGGTGTACCTGTAATCTCGTTCACTCACTGTCGAGTCACCTAGACTGGTGACCACATTGCAACATGGTCGATAGCATTCGATCTGCACTAATAAGGACTTGGCACACGTGACAGTGATCACTACCCAAAGATCAATCAATCGTGATTACATCTCAGTTCTACAGGAGGTCGATCGAGGCCCGGATAGCTCAGTGATAACGCCTCTGACTGTGACGCGGGGTGACACGCGGTCGAATCCATCAGAGAGGGTCAGTCTTCTCAAGATTACAGGTACACCTGGCTGACGGGTGCCAAGTAGCATGAAACTTGAGTCTAGGGTTTCCTGTCGACTGCCTCCAACCACCACCAAATTCCAGCTTTCCTTTACTATCCTTTGAATGGAATTTTTTCAATCAGACTAGATATAAAACAATTTACTAATGACACTAAATATTTATATTATAAATACGTTTTCACTTGTTATTAGCCATATACCTGGATAAAAATCATGACACACATCGTTTACATGACAAAATCTTTCATAAATTAGTAAAAAGTACAGGTTCAAAATTAAAAGAACTTTACAGTAGATATTTTATCTTTATCTTTAACCTTATCATAATCGATAGTTAATTGTTTTCAAAAAAATACAAGTGCGAACGGGAATATAGAAATATACAGTTACGTTATGAATTTTATTAATGTATGGATTAATTAAAAATAACAAAACTTTAACCTCAATATCTCTTCAAATATGCAGTATTTCTTTATACTACATAGACAATATGATGTGATGGAAACTCAATTATTGTTTAACACTTCTATAAGGTTCATTTTCAAACCTGGACATAAATACTAGTTAATGTTCTCCTAGAGCAACTATGGTAATAAATGTAAACATAAATACCTGCTGTGGTTTACATAAAAGCACTAAAATGAATAACACTTGGGATGTTTGGTTGATAAATTCACTTATTTTGAGTAATGGAAAAAGTACTGACATTGAAATGTATCATGCGAATTGCAAAGCAGAACGATTATATATATATATATATATATATATATATATATATATATATATATATATATATATATATATATATATATATATATATATATATATATATATATATATATATATATATATATATATATATACATGATCTCGACTATTGAAATTACTACAACTTCCACAAAACCCCTTCTAATTCATAGTTGCTTTGCATACCGGAAAAGTAACCAAAAAACCTTCAAATAACTCGTATTGTGAACAAGTATTTCATTAGTTTTGTCGCGTGTAAAATAAGTAATCATTTGAAATAATTAAAGTATTTCTACTGTATGTGGTATATTGTAAAATTCATATATGTATGAATTATACCAAATGCGATATACATTCACTACCAATGTTTATGTAAAATATGCGTGATTCAAAGGGAACAGACATCTATAGAACAATGTGCCTTTACATTATTTTTGCATTATAGTTAAAATCTCTTCGTCAACTTCGAATTTCTTCATTTCGGGAATCTGGTAGAATGGCTGATAATTATCGAACAATTCAGAAACTTAATAACCGCTCAGTAAGAACAAATATCGACTTTATACAGACTGTAAGTTATATTACTTGTATGGAAAAATCAAGTGTTAAGTACAGCATATTTATCGAATTCATTTTTTAACACAGGACAGACTTAGCCACTTGAAAGCTCATCTAGAACTGAATTACCGCCATTCGCGTGTATTTAAAGTAACTAGAGTACTGAAAATGTAGCCAGAAAAGTACAGTATTAAACCATCTTTATTCTTGTTATTAAAATGTTTCATAGTAGCATTATAAATCGCACGTTCGTGTCATTTCTGTGCTGCAGTAAACGAGTCCAAATAGATTAGACATATGTTCAGCATTAAATAGAGTTATGTAGGGTAAACCAATCAAGCAATTTTTCTCGTAATAAACCGTCATCTGTTGTATGATATGGCACCTATTATATCACATCTCTTAAATTATAATCCGATTACACTCCTATGCTCTCCATTCGGAATAACTTAAGAAAACTTGTTGTTTTAATTGTTTACATTCATTCTATCTTATAAGTTACTTCAACAATACTGCTAGCTGTTGTTCTACTTCAAATATTTGAGCATTTGTAAAAATTCAAAACATATGTGATGAAACAAATGAAACTACTTGCAGTCCAATCTCCTAATTTAAGTTACGTGTGTACAACCATATTTTTTGGCGTGATATTATGAAGTCTAAACATTCACAATATGAATCACTGTGCACGACTTGTATGGAAGGTAAAATAACTGTTTGAAAGAACGGAAGTAACGTATTGTTAATTCGTTTGGTCATTATATTAACAATAAATAAACTTAACTCTTAAAATGTTATTAAACATACAGGATATTGTACCAGCAAATTCACTGAGTTCTTATTCGGCAAACACAAGTCCACTCTGTTATGTTGTTATATAAATCGGAATTAGATTAAGCATTCTATATGCTCAAATGTAAGTGACGTCATAATTTGTAGTAAATTTTGTACTAACTATTTACATGCATTTTCATCAATGAAAGATAAATATCTGCATAAATAGAAACATAGTTGTTAATTTTTTGTATTGTTTCATCAAAACAGATTCTTCTACTCACAACCATTAAACATTAGCTACGAAAACAATTGTACATGTGATTCCATAATCAATTTAGAATTTATAATATCAGATGCAATCGGATAATTTACCTTTAGCTGTATATTGTTTTGTTTAAATGTCGTATTTAAATAATAATAATATTAGTATTGTGCATAAGTGACACTTCAATAGTACTTATGTTGATGATGAAAAAATTATCCTGTCATTTTAAATATTGGCATAAGTATTCCTAAAATATTATTCAATGTTTTCTATTACCTGAAAATGTTTTGTATGACAAGTAAGCTTTATACTGTCAAATACTCTTGATACACATGATTTCTAATTGAAAATCATATAATAATGACACTAATTAGTTGAGTCGAATTATTGAACTGAAACGATACATCATTTAAAAGAACAATGGAGAAAATAATGTTTAATACATTCTAAGTACCATGCAAAATAATGTTGTATAGGAAATTGTTTACAATGATATGTGCATTACAGATATTCTGAGAATTTCTGCGTGTAATCATGCTTCACCAATTCTGTATTTTATGTTTTCCAAAAATATTCATATATATACATTTAAAATGCTTAATTTTTATGAAACTAAAAATGGGGATCCATTAGGTTTAGTATACAATATTTGCAACACTGAAAAATGGCACATGGATAAGAAACTATCCATGGTATGTCAATGGATCTCATTAGTTGATTTACGTCTAAAAATTAAATTTATATATCATTAGTGACGATTATTTTTTTTAAAATGAAATACATTTTTAAGAATAACGCAAAAAAACATTGGTAGACTCAAATAGCGTACGTTTAGAGCTTGAAATTATCAGGTATCTATTCCATCTAAATAGTTTTTGGAACACACACAACTAAATAAACCGAAATTTATGAAAATAAATAAACTTTAATTTTTTGTTTAAATTTATATTGATGATTGAAATTAATAAAATGTAATTAACTTGTTTTATTTGTAAGCAACCATACTGCTCAATGCAATCTAGACGATCTTACATTGGTAAGTTTAAAATACATTTTGTATATTAATAATAATAAATTATCACAATCAATTAAAATGTGTGTATAATTAGTTAGTGAAACATTTGTTTGTTAAATACAAAAGTTTTTCCTTTGATTTTAAAACGAACTATTTGTTTCAGCACAGATCGATAGTAGCTAGCAGTGGAATCAAGGACGCGCGTTTTGTTCTATTCGGAACTGCTAGCCACTATCTATCTTTGCTTAAAAAGCTTGTGACTTAAGGCTATATCGAGGCAATCCGCACAGGATGCACATATTCCAACATGAGACTGATCAATTGCGGTCCTAAATAACAATCGGAAGATACAAGTAAAACAACACCAAGTGAAATATTTGTTTGTTTGTTTTTCAAAATCTATTGTACTCATTCTTTAATTTAACTTATTTTACTAGTAAGACGAAAAAAAGGTTACATTGTGAGTCACATCACATAAAATAGAAATGAATTAGCTATAATTACATATGTCACATGTTAGTTATACATTTATCTATTTATCGTTTTAGCAACAAAATGAAATAATGTAAGAAATTTGACTGATTTTGAATATTTGAAATCTAATTTCATTGAATAGTATAGTATAAGCTGAATTTTCTAATTACTTATTGCTGATATGATGTGTAGTGGCTGTGCTTCGTTGACTGATCACCCTCGTAACCGTTATCATATAATCATAAGGCAAAGAGAAGCAGCGACTACAGTTTTATTAGCAGATACCTCAGACAACAGAGCAGCGAACCGAGAGTATAGAGTGTTAAATGTACATGTATATATATAGGGAACTGAATGGATCATCGAATCAATTAAGGAGTTAATAATAAAGCTAGCAGAATGAATATATGAGTAGGCGGTAAGCAATGTTCAAGCATACATATTTCACATAAGCAAAACAATAATAAAGATACAATAAGTTGTTCTAGTAAGAATGACTTTGTCCGCTAAGTTAACAAAAGGGCTTAACTGAGTTAAATGAGAACAAACTAAATTGCACGTGAGTTGCTATATATGTAACACCAAATCATATTGTTGTTTAACATCCTCTTCGCATATTGTAGTATAAAAATCATGTATATTTTTGTACAATAATTCTTATATTAATACTATAATATAAAAGTATTTGTTTTCTATTTGTGTTTTATTCTTATGGCCTGTTCCAAAATTCTTACTTCATCTCAATTATTTGAATGGGAACGATAACATCATTTTGATGAAATGTTTCAATAGTATCAAAGAAAACTCTTGAAAACTAAAGATTCTGGTCAGTATATTATGATTTTATTGAATGAGGATACATGAATTCAAAAGGTTTCATACAGAGAGATATTATTTTATACGAAACCAATTATCTAAGTTGTTCTACTTCTTAAAAGACAATTTTCTGAAATGAATGATGAAAAAAAACTCGAAGGAATAATCTGAATTATTTATTCAAAACAAATAATATAAAATCTGATTCAGATCATTACACTTTAGTAGTAAATTAGTTGCTGTACTCAGGAAAGAAAAGACTGATTCTTGTTTTTATTATCTTTTATCATCTACCTCATATTACTAGTAAAGTATTCAGATTGTTAGTGAATGAATAAAAATAATAAGTAAGTTTGTATACCTCGACAATACATAACCTAATTTATTGTCAATACTTTTTATGAACTTTTATTAACTCTTATTCCATATTTTGTTCGTTTGACTTACTGTGTAAAACAAAAGACAACAAATAATTGTGATAAAATAAAATATTTCATGGGTGTTGTATAAAACTTTGATTTGAATTCATTCAAGTTATTCGATCAACAGGAGAACAAGTATGGTTATTGTTACCTTTTTTTATTTTAATTTACTTAATATTAATGATATGTAGCTATGAATGAAACTAAACAAAACAATGGGATGTTTTAAAATATACTTTCATTACATTGAAAAAAAGGTGTTTAATCATAGAAAATAACACTTTCTTTAACATTAATCAAGTTACCTTTGTTATAGTAATTTGTGAATATCACTATCATAGTCTATTTGAATGAATGCATTTTAAAAGACAATTTATATATACAGAAACTTTATATGATTGGTAATTGTATTAATAAATTCTTAACAAAATACTTATTGTTATGCATAATCATTTACAAAATGATTTCAATTTGGTCAACAACAAAAAACAAACAAACAAACTCTGTATTTGACACTATACAAATTTCACAGGTTGAAAGCATGAGTCAGTTGAAGCTAGACCACCATTGAAAACCTGGAAGCACTGGACGGCCGTTTCGTCCTAGTATGGGACTCCTCAGCAGTGCGCACCCACGAACCCGCTCCCTGCGGGATTCGAACCCAGGACCTACTGGCTTCGCGCGCGAGCACTTAACCATTAGACCACTGAGCCGGCATCCAACGGTGTTAATGTCTAACTTCAACCAATCCACGAAGTTGCGCCATCGAACACCGATGTCTTCAGTGAGCTGATATCTCACAACAGACCTGGTTGAACTCCACTGGTGACGGCTTCTCACTAGAACTCCAGAAGGTTCTCCTGAAGTCAGTCACTAGTGAGCAGTTGATTACTATCAGAATGAGTTTTGTGGAGATTTTAGTAAATTTCACAGGTTGAAAGCATGAGTCAGTTGAAGCTAGACCACCATTGAAAACCGTCACCAGTGGAGTTCAACCAGGTCTGTTGTGAGATATCAGCTCACTGAAGACATCGGTGTTCGATGGCGCAACTTCGTGGATTGGTTGAAGTTAGACATTAACACCGTTGGATGCCGGCTCAGTGGTCTAATGGTTAAGTGCTCGCGCGCGAAGCCAGTAGGTCCTGGGTTCGAATCCCGCAGGGAGCGGGTTCGTGGGTGCGCACTGCTGAGGAGTCCCATACTAGGACGAAACGGCCGTCCAGTGCTTCCAGGTTTTCAATGGTGGTCTAGCTTCAACTGACTCATGCTTTCAACCTGTGAAATTTACTAAAATCTCCACAAAACTCATTCTGATACTATACAAATTGTTTATTATTTATTCAATGAGACAGTTATAAATGTTTTCTTAAACAAAATATTATTTCATGTATTCCATGTTGAAAGCACAATAACTTTAAAAGACATTTTCTTTTCTCTCTTTAAATTTAAGTATATTTTTGTTTCCAAAAAGAAAAAGAAACAAAAAAACAAACCTCCACTTTTTAAAATTCCTACCCATCTATATTTTTGGCTAAATAAATTTTATTATTATTAAATAAAGGTTCAACATGATTAGTAAGAGGGATAGTAAAGATTCCCATTGTGAAAATTGGAACAACACATGAAAGCGAACGATTGTTTTCCATTAGATCGTCATCAGGCTTTACTTTAATATATACATGAATATTTATACGAAAATGTTAAACCAATCAAGGCAATATGGGTCAATAATCACAATGAAATAGAATAGGTCACCACACATAATTGGTAATAGTATAAGTTGATAGTAGGAAGATAGGTGTACTGATAGTAGTAAAAATAATTAAATACAAAAGTCTTATCAATAGTTAAACATTGGAAATACAAGATCAAACGTGGGTGAATAGACTTAGAATAATCATTACAAAACATTGAAGCTATTACGTAATATGAAGTGTGTAAATAATTAAATAGTGAAGAATACGAACGGAAAAAGGCGGAAAATTGCAAACAAATACGGGTGTGAAAATAATGCTAATGACAAAAAAATAAAACAAAATTTATAAAAAGAATTGTCATTAGTTATATCCGGCCATAGAAGGGATAGGGGGATCACGAATTTCTTCCGTACACATAAATTGGGGTTAAATGTACGAATTCCTATGGCTTCAGCTATATTTAAGAGAGGGGATCGAAATCCATCGGGAAATGATGGAGGTATGCGAAGATCACTCTAAATGACTCCGATTTGTCTACAGTGACCGCTATCAATTAGATGCTTAACTATCGATATGAATTTTTGATATTGTATTTTATTATTCTTACTATTATCAGTTCACCTATCTTCCTACTATCAACTTATACTTTTACCAATTATTCGCGGTGATGTATTCTATTTCATTGTGATTGTTGACTTAAATTGTCTTGATTGATTTAACATTTTTGTATAAATATTCATATATATTAGAGTAAAGCCTGATGGAACTCGGCTTTCATCATGAGGCGTCATAACTCTTCTAAACAAACCAGATCCCAGCAGAGGAGGAAATCAGAAAGAAGCGCTCGAATTGGATAGGACACACATTGAGGAAAGCACTCAACTGCGTCACAAGACAAGCCCTCACATGGAATCCTCAAGGCCAAAGGAAAAGAGAAAGACCAAAGGACACAATACGCCGCGATGAAGAGATAGACATGAGTAAAATAAACAAGAATTGGATAGAACTAGAAAAGAAGGCCCAGGATATAGTGGGTTGGAGAATGCTGGTCAGTGGCCTATGCTTCATTGGGAGTCACAGTCGTAAGTAAGTAAAGCCTGATAATGATCTAATTGAAAACAATCGTTCATTTTCATGTATTGTTCTAATTGGAGGAAGAATAGAATTTATTTTAAAAAAATATGACTATTTTTTGATGTTTACTCTAACTTATGCATAAAACAAAATATTGTGATAAAGAGAAAACTTTCATTTAAATCTCAATAAAACAAGGAAATTTATTTATAAAAACGAAGAGACTCATTGAAAAGAAGCATTTCTCGCCTACATTTTTAATTTTTGACTTAAATTTTTATTTGTATTGTAGATATAAATAGATTTCAACAAGGTAATATTACTCACTTTAGAAGAAAAACTGAGAGAAAAAAATGAAGAGAAATCCTTTTTTTCAATGACTCTTTTCGTCTTTATAAATAAATTTCCTTGTTTTATTGAGATTTACATTTAAGTGGTTTTTTTTTTGGCGAAACAATAATTTATGGACGAATTAATCAGATTTACAATAGCGGGTCTAAATAGAATTTTGGCATTATAGTTAATGTGAGTTCGTGATGAAAATTCTAAATCTAATTTCTAGCCCTAACCATCAGCTGTAAATCATAATCCTTATTTTTCGGACTGCTTTATAACCGTCATTTTGCTTCTAGTTATAAGATTTAAACTCTCAAAGTCACTTTAGCGTTGCTCAAATGTCGTCCATAAATTATAGTCTCACTAAAATGTATATGAGGTAATTATAAAATTACTTAAGCCAATAGATTTCCATGTTTATCTATTTAAAAACAAAAAAAGAATAATTGATCATTTAAATGTCATTTACATTATGTTGTAGAAACATTGAAAAAAATTATTATTGGACATTTTAAAAGTCTAATCTTGTATTAAATGAAATTGGTAACAATTTTTTTTCAATTTTAAAGATGCTACATAGAAATGTATTGATGTAGCTTCTTTTTTTTCTAACTCACTTTTGTTATAAACTGAATTGATAAGACACTGTGAATGATAATCTGGCTTAATTTTTGGGAACATGAAACAAGTCACCAGTTTTCAGAAAACTACAATCCACATACAAAATATAGAAAATATATAATACAATATTAAAATATATAATGTTACGTTAAAAGAAACGAGAGAAATCACAGCAAATCTGATCTATGAATGTGATAAGTAAAAATGATCATCAAATTTGTATATTGTGTATGAAAATTTCTTATTCGATTTCGAGAATAATTCATCATGGGTACAACATCAAATTTTTCTAAATAAATGATCCTCTAAGCCACTTTATGTATATTAAGTAAAGATTGTTTTAAAAGCTAATTGTAGAATCTAATGAGAAAGAATACTCTTCGTTTATATAATTATGTTTTAATATCATGAGAATTTCTCAGCGATTAAAACGAGAATATTTTACTATATAGTTGCAACGGTTCAAAACTAAATGTTTTGACTAATAATCATATAAACTAGACTTTCTGAGTAACTTCGATTTTGTTTTGTTTTAAAATCATTAGGAAATTTCTTTAAATGATTTGTAATAAAGACACAAATTAAACATGAAATTTTAGTCGTGAGTGTAGATCATCATTCAACAACTGAATGAATCTTAATATTTTCTGTAATCAACCACTAGTGAGACAACAGGGAATTTATTTTAGCCGCGATGTCTCATATGTCTTTCTCTAAACATTTAAAAGAAAATGGATATGTGTCTAAAGTGCGCTATTCATTTAACCCATAGAATAGAACAAGTGTTCACTAATCCTTTGATACCCTGATTTAGTTTATTATATAACGTACTGAAAAATAGTTGTTATTCATAAAGGTTCTCTGAAGTTGACATGTATCTCAATTTCCCATCTAGTCACTTAGCTCTGTAGTGAACAGAACACGAGTGGGGACAATCAAATGTATTTAACACAAAATTACGGCACTTGTTAATAAAACGTAACAACCATAAAGTAAATGCTTAATTTGCAAAATGTCCACGAATTGTCTCAAAATGACTCAAACTTCATTTTCATACAAATCGCATCCTGCTTCCGTTCTTTACTGTTCGATCCTCATGTCTCTCTGCTGCCAGACCTTCTGTTTACGACTAACATCATATACTACTTATGTCAATATATGTAGCACACACCACAGCCCTACTTAAGTTTTGTCAGAAAATCATGTATTTATTTGTTGAATTAGATTGAATAATAGTTTCATATTTGTGGTTAACCTTGGAAATGCAATTTTTAAGTTTTATCTACACTGGTCATTCATCGAACGTATTTTACTGCAGATTTCAGTACTACTTTAATTCACCTTAAAACTGATTTATTTTATTTACGTTGTGACTGAATGGTTATGGAAATGAAACGGAAGTAATTAAATTAAACAGTGTCATTAAATATTATTAAACAGATAAAAATATAATCGAATGAATTAGACTTAGAAGCATGCATAACTCTATAAATAATCTAGTAAAATGAAATCTTATTTTTGCATAGCTGTATCCATCAAATCAAGGATATCATGTGGTATGCTTCATAATAATAATTACTAATAAGTATTTAGAGTATTTGGTAAATGTAATGGACAACCAATTTTTTACTCAATGGTGGTCTAGCTTCAACTGACTCATGATTTCAACTTGTGAAATTTCTAAAACTCTCCACAAAACCCATTCTGACAATTATTATTTATTTAAATTATCGATAGGTGGCATTATTGTTTAATGGTTTTCATTCGATAATGTTTATAGTCTG